TCTTCTAAATATGAGAAAATCGGCTGAATGGATTCGAAAACGGTAAAACTCGACTGTTTAACTCTGGGGGAGTGGTAAAATGAGCCTATTTCCTTTAAGACGATGCATTTTCCAACATGCTTCTTTTTCATGCAAAGTTTTGTTTCGTATCGGTGACTGATATTTAGCATCTGATTCCAGTTCACATGCATACGCAAAAACGACTAAAAATTCTATATTGGTGGTCAAATTGTAAAGAGAGACTACCGTACACGCCTGCGCACATATGTATTCAATTGCGCATGGCTATAGACTAAACACACAATATGCATGTGCACGCCGTCACCTTTTCACAGGTTCGTGTTTCTGTGGTTTACATCGAGGGAACGTTTCTTCATTTGCATTGAAGCAAAAGATTAAAAAGCATTTGGTTTACTGAAATGACATTGCTATTGTCCAACGTCCTACGTCTTTGTACTGTTGATCTGTTGAATAAGAAATTAATGTTTGAATTAAATCTCTATACATGCATGCATACATACATAAATACATGCATGTATACGTAAATAAATCTTCTAGTGTCTGAACTAGTTGATGCATGAAATCAGTACTCTTATAAAGAGGTTTACTGGCAAAAAGTACAACTTATCGAAATCCGTATCGTGTCACATTGATTCGCTCAATCTGCGTTTCAACCGTGGAAAGACGTCAGTTAAACAGCTTGTAATCAATGTCATCGTCATATTTACCTCAGAAAACCCACATAAACTCGTTAGTCAGCTAGAAAAAATAACTCTAGAGAGGAGCATTTTGCTAAATATATACACCATATTACATATGCATTATAATTTTAATGTTCGTCAATATTTAATGCATATCTGGCAAGTTTTTGACGGCCACCATTTAAATGTTTTATATTTCATATGATCTTCTTATTATAAAAATAAATAAAAGTGTAATTTAAGTGTTTCTGTAGCTACAAAACAGTTAATTATTACCTTCATATTAGGCTAATGAAGCCTATAGGCTACAACTAGACTCCCGTAGTTTACAGCATTAGTTCAGAGATTTGATTCCCTTGAGAAAAATGGCCATTTATTGTAACTGATATCCAAAATAATCAATATTGAATCGATTGTGAAATTTGTGTCAATACCCAGCCCTAGTCATTTTTATGTGTATTTTAAATGCATGTATCTGAAATACTACCCATCTCTGGCTGGGACTTAGTTAATCTGGTTTCTTTTGAATGGGCAGTCACGTAAAAATTTAGTAGCCAAAATTGTCCGGCGAGTGAATAAGTTAATGTTTCACCCTTTTGATGCAAAGCTTTTGTACCCGACGACTGATGTTTAGCGTTGTAGATGTAAAAGCCACTGTTTTTCATAGTCGCCATTGGGTGACTACTACTGTAAAAAGGCGTAAAGCTCCTCGTCTCATTTGATGGTGGTATTTTGAGAGCGTTTCATATGAATGAAGTGCCATCGTGAGTTCTCCGTAGGAATGCAGATTGCATCTGTGGCTGAACGCATTGCCTCATCCGCACCCGCTGTACAGCGCTGTAGGGATTGTTTACCGTGGCAGAGCTGTCTCTCCACTGGAAGCGCGGCCTTGGGAGTGTTTATTTTGGGCCTTGAAGATTTGAATCGCTTGTTTGGCTTCAATTTAGTTCTTTAAAACGCCGTCCCCTCGTGCACTCGCTCGGAGGAAGCCAACCAAGAGTTTCGGAACAAATTACATCTCGGTCTCATTCATATTCAGCGTGGCCCGTCAGGAGCGAGCGGGAGGAGTCGAGCTGTTGGGGTGAGGGTACGCTTGGGTTCGCCAAAGCAAACGCTTGTGCTCGGTCTGCTCGCGGCTCCGGGTCGGGTCGGGTCCGATACACCAGATGCCAAAGCAAAAGGACAGGTTTCACCAGTGTTATGTCGTTACACATGATTGGTGGAACTGATTTTAAAACATAATAAAAATAAAAAATAAAATCAATATTAAAAAATATATATTTATTTATTTTTTTTATTTTATACATTTTTAAAAATATATAATTGGCATATTTTATTCAAGAGTAATAATTCCTACAGTAAATATTAATGGAATATATTATTCAATGGTAATAATCCCTACAATAAATATAAATGGCATATATTAAATAGTAATAATTCCTACAATAAATATAAATGGCATATATTCAATAGTAATAAATCATACAGTAAATATTAATGGAATATATTATTTAATTGTAATAATTCCTACAATAAATATAAATGGCATATGTTCAATAATAATTCTTATAATAAATATAAATGGCATATATTCAATAGTAATAATTCCTATAATAAATATAACTGTCATATATTATTCAATAATAATTCCTATAATATAAATGGCATATATTCAATAGTAATAATTCCTATAATAAATATAACTGTCATATATTATTCAATAATAATTCCTATAATAAATATAAATGGCATATATTCAATAGTAATAATTCCTATAATAAATATAACTGTCATATATTATTCAATAATAATTCCTATAATATAAATGGCATATATTCAATAGTAATAATTCCTATAATAAATATAACTGTCATATATTATTCAATAATAATTCCTATAATATAAATGGCATATATTCAATAGTAATAATTCCTATAATAAATATAACTGTCATATATTATTCAATAATAATTCCTATAATATAAATGGCATATATTCAATAGTAATAATTCCTATAATAAATATAACTGTCATATATTATTCAATAATAATTCCTATAATAAATATAAATGGCATATATTCAATAGTAATAATTCCTACAGTAAATATTAATGGAATATATTATTCAATAGTAATAATCCCTACAATAAATATAAATGGCATGTATTCAATAGTAATAATTCCTATAATAAATATAACGGTCATATATTATTCAAGAATAATTCCTGTAATAAATATAAATCATATATATTATTCTATACTACTCGTATACAATAACGGTAACATTTGATAGATCCAGTGATAGTATGAATGTTCATTTTTGAGTAGAATACGAATCCACATGTCTCAAGGGCAAGTTACCAAACCTAAAAACAGAAGTAATGATAAAACGATGTAAACACCGCTGCTAAAATTAAAGCGCCATGGCGTACACAAGTGTTTGAGCCCCTCAGCCGGCGTTTGAGGATTTCCATGAGGATGGACTCTTCCTGCTTTCATCCGGTGACTCCCGTAACAGCGCGTCAGGATCCTGCTCTTCAACAGGACTCCACGCTCCTCATCCCACGCTTCTCTATCCCACTGGAAGAGCTTGGCACAGTCATTAAGTGTAGCGCTGTCTCCATATGAGCTGGGGTTATTTATAAGCAGTCGTCTCGTGTTCTCTTCCGTCTGGAAGTGAGATGTCCCGGTGTAAATCCTTGTTGAAGTTCAGGCCGTCTCCTCATATTATTATTATTTCCTATTCTCTCTTTCCCATTTCCTATTTCCTCCTTCATATTTCCTTTCTTATTTCCTCTTTCATTCTTTCCTATTCCCTCTTTCCTCCTTCATATTTCCTTTCTTATTTCCTCTTTCCTTCTTTCCTATTCCCTCTTTCCCCATTTCCTATTTCCTCCTTCATATTTCCTTTCTTATTTCCTCTTTCCTTCTTTCCTATTCCCTCTTTCCCCATTTCCTATTTCCTCCTTCATATTTCCTTTCTTATTTCCTCTTTCCTTCTTTCCTATTCCCTCTTTCCCCATTTCCTATTTCCTCCCTCTTCCCTCTTCTTTCCTATTCCCTCTTCCTCCATTTCCTATTTCCTCCTTCATATTTCCTTTCTTATTTCCTCTTTCCTTCTTTCCTATTCCCTCTTTCCCCATTTCCTCCTTCATATTTCCTCTTTCCTTCTTTCCTATTCCCTCTTTCCTTCTTTCCTATTCCCTCTTTCCCCATTTTATTTCCTTTCTTATTTCCTCTTTCCTTCTTTCCTATTTCCTCCCTCTTCTTTCCTATTCCCTCTTCCTCCATTTCCTATTTCCTCCTTCATATTTCCTTTCTTATTTCCTCTTTCCTTCTTTCCTATTCCCTCTTTCCCCATTTCCTATTTCCTCCCTCTTCCCTCTTCTTTCCTATTCCCTCTTCCTCCATTTCCTATTTCCTCCTTCATATTTCCTTTCTTATTTCCTCTTTCCTTCTTTCCTATTCCCTCTTTCCCCATTTCCTCCTTCATATTTCCTCTTTCCTTCTTTCCTATTCCCTCTTTCCCCATTTTATTTCCTTTCTTATTTCCTCTTTCCTTCTTTCCTATTTCCTCCCTCTTCTTTCCTATTCCCTCTTCCTCCATTTCCTATTTCCTCCTTCATATTTCCTTTCTTATTTCCTCTTTCCTTCTTTCCTATTCCCTCTTTCCTCTCCATTTGAACTCATCAACCTAGAAATTATTTTAACAACTTTAAAGTTCAAGTAACACATTTAAAAAAAATTAAAGTATTTGTAAGTGCAAATAAGTATTTGTATGAGTACTTTAACTGAGATATGAGGGTTATTTTTGCTTTTAAACACTGCATACAGTTTATAAAAAAATATTTAAATGTAATCTTTTTTTAATCTATTAATACAAAAATGCTTTTTTTAAATCTTCTGATTTTTCTTTTTCTTCCCTTATAAGCCGAGTAGTTATTCTGCCTTTTAAATGGCATGTTGTCTATGCTTTATACATGCCTCATCCAATAATAATGTTTAATTTTGATCATATCTGGGCTATAGTATGTAGATATAGGTGCGTAATGACTAATCCGTCACACATTGTTGGGAAGTCACTGTTCTTATGCTGCTTTTGCTCAAATGAAAGTGCACTGGGGAAAAGTGATACTGGGATCCCACCCAAGCCATTGTTCCTCCAGCACCTCCCATGATGCACCAGCTCGAAGCCTTTCGCTTTGACTAATGAACGGCCCTGGAAATGTCAAACTTTTCGTTACCCTACACGATCATTTCTCATGAAGCAGATATAAACTCCTTTTCTCTCTCTTCCAGTCCAATACCAGATGGAGATGATGAGGAGTCTCCGACACGTGAACATCGACCACCTTCACGTCGGCTGGTATCAGTCCACGTTCTACGGCTCTTTCGTCAGCCGGGCTCTCCTGGACTCGCAGTTCAGCTACCAGCACGCCATCGAGGAGTCTGTGGTGCTCATCTACGGTGAGTCTCCATAGTTAATGACCCTGGGTTCAGCGCTCGACGGGAAGAGCTTCTCACTCGTGTTTGCAGAGAAGACATTTAAAAAAGTGGATCAAAACTTTTCATCAAAGTTATACGGGAATTTTAACAATACCGGTTCATTTCTTAGAGCAACTTTGAACTTTTCTGATCCACTTCAAATATTCGACTACTGTATGTGTGTGTGTGTGTATATATATATAAAATTACATTAAAAATATATACTAATATATTTAGTTTATATAACTATATAAATATTTTTTTTAATTTCATGTAATATTCAAATTTTCTGAGATTTTGAATTTGGGGTTTTCGTAAGACATCAATCAAATTATAACTAAAAAAAAACAAAACTTTTTGTGTTTCACCTGTATGTATGTATGTGTGTTCTGGGAAAAAATTAATTACATCCAAAATAAAAGCTAACACAGAAACCTAAAATTCTCGGGACAGCAGCTAGGGCTGGGTATTGTTAGGTATTTCACAATTCGATTCGATTTCAATTCTTGAGGCTTCGATTCAATATTGACTTATTAGCTTCGATATCGATTCAATAATAAGTAAATACACAAGTAATTAAGTGCCTGAGTATAATTTTAAGTAATGTGCGCAGTTTTACCAATGTTAAAGAACAAATTGACCCCAACATGTTTGTTTCCTCTCATGGTTTATTCAGCAGAATAAACTGTACAATATTGTATGTGTTGAATTCAAACACAACTGTGACGAGCACTGTACAGTGCTTTAACAACACCTCTAAAGTGCAAGTAACTAAGTAGTAGAAAGTAGTGTTGGGCGATATGCTCCATTTTCATATCGTCCTATCGTCAGCCTGTGAGATCGGCGATACACGATATTATCGTGAGGGGGCGGGGCTAACTTATTTGATTATTAACTTGATTATTTAGCCTACTCATTAATTTGCTTGTTTTATTAGCCTACTTCGTTTTATATACGAGAATCTTTTTTTCTATTTTGCTAGCAAAAGGTGGAGTGTTTATTAATAGGATCAGGTTATTTCCTGGTATAGTGAAGTAAAAAAAAGAGATCCTAATCCTTTTATTTGTCAACGGGAAATTTACGGACACATTAGCCTATTCCCATGCCATTACATGCAGTATTTTGGTCTATTTCTGCACGAGATGAAAACACGTTTTAATAATTTCTTGGTTCAGAAAGAGTCGGAGTTTGCGATATGTGCCCCCCTACCAGTGCGCTCTCTGTCTGGATGCACTTCACATGCGTACTTCAGTAAGCACGAAGTACGCGGGTTAATGTGTTTTAAATGCCGATAGAAACAAGAGCAAGGGCCAAACGTCTAGCTGAGTCGATCGGTTTATACTTATACTTATGAGTTGACTGATAAAGGAAACGTTTACATGACCACATGCATTGTCAAGTTTATTCAACATAATCAGGTTAAGAACGTCGTCGCATGTAAACGCGCTCAATCTCTGAAAGTGAAAGTAAAAACGGACTGCTTTCGGCATCTGCATTAACGCCGCGTTCCCTCAGAGACGACGATGATAACGGTCGGTAACTATAATACTGTTTTAGTGATATTATTATTAATACTATTTAGTAATTGTATTGTTTTTAGTGTTAGTGTCATTAAACGTTTTGTTAATGTGTTACAGAAACAAATACTGACGAACAACGATGCCGTTTTCATCTTGGATCTGTAGGAAATTGAATTTTGCGTCTGTTAAAACGAGCACACTTGATAATTTGTGAATGGATCACCTTGCGATTGAATTTTGATGTGGGATGTTTTTTAGTCTGTTTTAAAAACATTCTCTTAGAGGAGTCCTCATTAGTGCGTGTGTTGTTGCAATTGTTATGAGGTGATGTCGTTGTAAATTTAGGCAAGGCAAATTAATTGTAGTTCCTAATATTCATTTAATAACAATACTAGCTTTATAATAATAATAATAGGCCTAATAATAATAATTTAATACATTATGGTAAAACGAGCCAATTATCGTATTGATATCGTCAAAGGCATCTGCCATCGGCGATATGTCAGACTATCGTCGATACACGATACTATCGTCTATCGGCACAACCCTAGTAGAAAGTATATTTCTTTCTTCCTATACATTCAAGTTATAAAAAAAATGTAAACAGAAGCACAAAATGTGCATACTCAAAAAAGTGCAATATTATATTCTAATTATAATTTTGTAAACAATAACACTTAATAGCTGATCACACTTAACAGCAATTGCGAGTTATCAGGCCAATTCTAAGGGGGAAAAAATACTAACCTTTTTCCCTCTCAGAAGTTTATATCTCATAGACTTTATATCACGCATTTCTGACTTTATATCATGCATTTCTGACTTTATATCACGCAATTCTGACTTTATATCACGCATTTCTGACTTTATATCATGCATTTCTGACTTTATATCACGCAATTCTGACTTTATATCATGCATTTCTGACTTTATATTACGCAATTCTGACTTTATATCACGCATTTCTGACTTTATATCATGCATTTCTGACTTTATAACACCCAAATGCGACTTTATATCACGCAATTGTGACTTTATGTCTCGCAATTCTGACTTTATATCTTGCAATTCTGAGAAATAAAGTCAGAATTGCGAGAGGTAAACTCCCAATTGTGAGAAAAAAAGTCGCAATTACCTTTTTTATTTTCCATTCTGTGGCGGCAACAAGCTTCCATAGTTCCCGGCTTACAGGGGAATCCAAAATGAGCCCAAACGTCGGCTTTTAATGTTGGCGGTGCAGGCTTGAATCAGGCTTGAACGGAGTACAGCTGCTGTCCGTCATCGCGCTGTTTTGCTAAGGGCTAAACCGCGACTTGTACAACGCTGAACGCTCTCACTAGAGTGTAGCCCACAGCGCCGCCACTGGCCTGGATGGCTGAATCGATTCATAGGATTTGAGGAATCGATATTGAATTGAGAAGCAAAAAATTGCAATGCATTGATGAATTGATATTTTTACCCAGCCCTAACAGCAGCATTTGTCCAAATTTCAATCTTAACCGTTCTCTTTCATCAGAAACGATCTTAAAACAGGGCTTTAAGTGTAAAATACCCAACTAACCCTTTAAAGTCTGTTTTAAATGGGTTGCTTTTAGGATTGGGAATCAGGAATCGAACACTCGAGGTCAGGTTTCGGATGCATTTTGTAAAATTAATTTAGATTCCTGTGAGTATTTCAACTTGACTTTAACCCATTTCTGTGCTTCACGTGTGTCCGTATACTGGATCCAGCTCTTAAAGAGACAGCACTAATATTCCTGCTGCCGTCTCTATAATAACTCAAGAATATAATCACACAACTAAAGACAGAAAATTAACTCGCTCTTCACTGAATAACTTTTGAGACTATTTATAAAGTGCAGTGTTTTACATTTAATTAGTTTTTGAACCCGAATACCTGAAAATCTTAAAACACTGTTTCAGTCATATCTTTGTTCAGTTCTGTTCTTTTTTAATAACAGTGTGTTTACTTGTCTTTAATAATGCTTGAAGCTTAGTTTGGCTAGTTGTTTTTCTATGGTGTTTTAATTTAATTTAAACCACAGGCAAACGCTCCTTGTATGTGTTGTTGATTTTTGTTCATGATATTCAGCTACAATTACATTTTTGCAATAAGACTAAATGTGAATATCTACCTTTTTTTACTTTTTTGGGAATCGATAAGCAGAATCTTCGATCGTTAAAATTGAAACGACACCCAACAGTAGTTGCATGCATGTTGGTTCCAGTGAGGATTGAAGCGTCTTGTGGTGATTAAGGTGTTCCTGATGCTCCGTCAAAGGTTTCGACACACAAACTTGCAGAATAAATGCCTTGAATGCAATGCATGTCGCTTGAGATGAATGCATCTGTCAATAGCGTGACTGTAAAGTGCATTGGTACAATGGTGGGTGAAGTGTGCACTCCGATCTCGAGTGTTTTCCTGCCCTGTATTCTACACTGGGTTCACGGCATTTAATCATGCCGCCTTTAAACCCATCAATAATGCATGCTGAAATATTAAAGTCTAAATAAAAACCTGCTCATCTCTCTACATGCCGAGGAGAGAAGTCTACATCTTGTGGTTTCGGATCATTATCCAGCAGATCTGACTCTTTCTGATATTCACACGCGTGCATGACAAGACAAATCTCACATGACGCGTGTTTTTTTTTTACTTTTAAATGTGCATTTAGCAGATAAAGTGCTTTGCATTCATCAGGTGATTAAAATATTAGTGCATTTTTTTTATTTTTATAAGTCGTTAAGTTTTTATAAAGATTTACTAATGAGACAAGGGAGTTTCATTCAAGAAAAAAAAACTTAATTTAAAATTACCCGTAATTTTGGTAATGAGTTTTAAGGGATAATATATAGAATACAGGGGTACTTTAAATTTAATTGATGGTTACATCGCCATGTTGATGCTGAAATTTAGTTTTTTTTTGCACTGGCTTCTGTTTTATCATTGTATAATGTAAAATGGCCACCGTGACTCTAGATGGCCATTCCTCCGGCAAAGCAAGGACGTTTTGTAAAGTGCTGCTGTGTGTGTGTGTGTGTGTGAGTGGCAGCTCTGATAAGACCTGTGTGAACACTTTTAGGCTTTGACATCTCTGACAAGCACATTAATTCAATCCTACTCTTACTAAAAGCAGTGGAGGGCGAGTGTGGCTGAGTATGAAGCCTGACGGCACCTGCAGTCGATGATTTCTGTATGAAAGCGGAAGAAAAGCTTCTCTGCGTGACCTCCTGGCCCTCACACCCGAGACGGGTGAATATAAATGTCTTGTAGGCGCTGGATGGAAGTGCTTGTTTTATGGCGCTTAACTCCGTGACCTTTCTGTTATTGTCATGGGTTTGGTTCCTGGGTCAAGTGAGCCATTAAAGGCACTAAGTTTTCTCCTCTATTCAGACATTATTTAAAGATAATCTGTAATGATATTAATAATAATATGTATTAAAACTTAACTTGAATCTGTGGTTTAAAATGCGTCAAATAACATTTAGGGCTGGGTTATGTGTTGGACATTCTCAATAAATTTGTGATTTTTGCTGCATATTTTAATGCACTTTTATTTGTTAGTTAGTAGGGGTGGGGGAAAATATCGATTCTCGATGCATCGCGATGCGGACGTGGACGATCCTGAATCGATTCACAAATGTCAAAAAATCGATTTAAAAAAAAAAAATTGGGTCATTACTTTGTACTTTTAAAGCAAATTATTTATAGTCACACACAAAAGATTCAGATAATCGATTTGTAACATTATAAATGTCTTGTACTTTAACTTTTGATCAACTTATTTTATCCTTGATGAATAAAAGTATAGATTTCTTTTTTCTTTTGCCCAAAAAATTAAATAAAAATTCTCACCGACTCCAAACATTTGAACGGTATTGTTTAATGTTACAAAAGCTTTCTATTTCAGATAAATGCTGTTCTTTTGAATTTCTGGGTGATTCTCTGAATCGGGTGCCCTTCAAGTCCCCCAAACTTGCTTCAAATATTTTCAATTGAAGGAAATCACAAAATACATTTTAATGCTGTCAATTAATAGAACCAGGTGCATTTGCATTATAATGCAACAAAATTGCTTTTGAAAAAAAAATGTAAAGTTAATAAATTTAAAGATAATGAGTTGCCTAAGTAGTAGACAACAAGCATGTTTGCATGTCCTCACTAACCATCATTATATTTTCAATGAATATCAAACAAATAAAAAGTGCAATTAATACCAAAATGTTGCTGCTGCTAATATAATCATATGTTGGTCTAGTGTATTTTCGTTTACTGTTGTGAAATGGAAAATCAATAATCGGTAATCGAGAATCGTTAATAATCGAAAATTGACTGTAATCGATTTGGGACTTCAATAATCGTAATTGAATCGAATCGGGAAATCAGACAGATTACCCACCCCTATTAGTTAGTAGCATGCATACCGGATCAGTGTATTAAACAGTGCATTAGCTCATTTAAAAGTCTGTGTAGTGTTATCTTAAATTTGCTCACTTTATTAAATTTCTGTTCCTGAAAACTCTTGTCAGACCGACCTGAAAAACACTGTTTATTTAATGTGTATCTTTGTTATATTGTATTTTTATCAGTTCTGTTATTACTACTTGCCTTTAATGTTTTTACTTTATATTAGTAGGGCTAGTAAGTTTAGAATTACTAACTTGACTTGGCCGGTAAAACACATTTATGGCCGGTACATTTTCTTAAGTCACCGGCCGATGGCAGGTGTGGCATAAAGTACATTTTTAGGCCCTTTATACTATATCCAATATAATATTAGATTTTTTTAAAAAAAATTTAAAGATGTGGCATTTATGATAATCCCAATGGTCTTCAAATTGCACTGATTTGGTTCTTTCCTTACCCTGTAATGCATCAAATTAGCTTTTTACTTCTAGAATAAAAAATGCAAGTGCTAATGTCATAACTCACACATTTTGTGTGATCTCACATCTTTCTAGCAGGATAGCAGCATTAGCCCGTGTTTACATTAAATATGATTAAACCTGGATCATTGCATGTTCATGCTGCATTTTAATCCATTTGTTTTTGGCTGCAAATGGCATTTTTGGCAGAAAATTGTGGTGCATCACTAAAGCCCCTTTCACACAGCGGGAAATTGCCAGAACGCCGTCTGTGTGAACGCAAACACGAGCCGGGATTGTTGATGCCAGATTGGGGATCTAGTAACATTGCCGTGTTCAGTCCCGGAACGAGCGCTGTGTGAATAAAAGCCGTAATCAATGGCGTGTCGTAATCAGTCTTGGGTTAGTTACTCTAAAAAAGTAATTAATTACTAGTTACTAATTACCTCTTCAACAATGTAATTAGATTACTGTACGAATTACTCTCTCTAAAAAGTATTTAATTACTTTTAATTACTAATTACTTTCAAAATCCCATTTCAATCTCAACCAGCTGAATAATACAAGAATAGACGTGAATCTGTTTTAATTCTTTCAAATAAATACTATAAAATTGCATGAATTATCCTTAATCTGACCATGGTGTGGAAGGTTACATTATAAAAACATACTTTTTAACATCAGACAATACATTTTGATGTTAAACCCACTATTGTTTTATGTCTGACCTCATGACATTTCACACTTTTTTCATACATATTTTACAATAATTACGTACGAATTCACATACGAATTTGTACGAGTGCGGTCGTATGAAAGACACCTCATAAAATGCAATGCATACGAATCGCTGTGAGATCGGATTGAATTTACCTCAATTACATCAGAAGTAACTGTAATTAAATTACAGATAAATGAAGAGTAATCCCTTACTTTACATTTTCAAGGGAAAAGTAATTAAATTACAGTAACTAATTACTTAGTAATTAGTTACACCCAACACTGGTCGTAATGATGACGATGAAGTGAAACCCAGCTAGTGGAAACTAGAGCCAGACCGATATATCGGCACACCGATATTAGGCATTTTCCAAACTATCGGTATCGGCAGTTATAATGGCCGATAAATGAATATTTCAAAAATACAATAAAAACGGATGAAACACGCTTGAACCATGTCATGTTGGAGTTGTATAGTTTGTCCACCAGAGGGCGCTCTACACCGTTCCTGTTGGCAACACTCGTTGAGTTGGTCACGATACATAAATTGCTTGAATAACAATTAAAAGAACATCCACGTCAGTTCTCTTAACTCAAATAAGCATGACAAAATTTGTGACTATCATGTCCAGTTTAAAATAAATAAATAAAATATCGGCCGATATATCGGATTTTAAAACCCAAAAATATTTGTATCGGTATCGGCCTTAATAATCCTTTATCGGTCGGGCTCTAGTGGAAACGGTACATAATGCGCTAGTTTATGACTGAATTAGAGGAAGAAATGTTGTTGTTTCTCCATAGAGAAGTAAGCAAACTTGAGTCACTGATGTCACGTGTTGTGTGTGAACACACACTCTGATTCCGGAAAATCACTGGCAGTGTGAACGAACCCAAATCAAACTATCCCGGGTGTGTTTTCTGTGTGAACGGCGCTTGATACTCATGTGACGTGTTTATATCTGTGTTTTTTCATCCATAAAAGCCCACCTTCTACTATTTGGTTCTTTTGTGCATTTGAACCTTGTTAGTAAAGCTTTTTCAGTGAAACTCCTAAAGGGCCAGCCGTTTTCTCTTCGCAGACAAACCTGATATTTAGTCCCAAAATGAGTCTCTCTCATTTGATTTTACACAATCCCATATCAATAGTTTAAAAGTTGGATAATGACTTGGATGAAATGGGGCAAATGTATTTGCGATGTTGCATTTGTTTTTTTTTTTTAATTTTAGTTTTTTAATCCATTACTTTTACTAAAAATGTTTTCTTGAAAGTAAAACGTGTTTCTCTCTCCGTCTATTGAGTTTCTAGGTAAAGCAGTTTCTTTTTAAAGCCAAAAGTGTACTCGATATTTCAACACCTGCGAAAGACATTGTGTTCGCATTTCCACACTTCATTAAGTAGCGGAGCCGTTCCCAACAGTGCTAAGGTAATAAGAAATGTTTCTGTGATACCAAATTAGCCCAGTTCTTCAGTAAGGATGAGGTTTTTGATGCAGCGGCTGAATAAAAGCCATCGTTTGGAGCAGTAATTATAGTTCTCAGCATTAGTGTTGTTTTTAATCAATTCAATGCTTCCTTGGTGAGCAAAGCATCCATTCAAAAGCCTATTTTACATGCGTTTCCAAACTTCTGAATGGTGGTGTGCATCAAATATCATTAAAGATATAATGAAAAGCAATTGATTATAGTTACATCGTCCAGCCCTAAAGTCTGCCATTCGTGGAGGCTTTAGTCTGCATTGCCGGAGCGAATATTCAATTCCTTCCTTTGTCCTTTTGAACCCGTTTATTACTTATTATACACTTATAATACATTATATGTGTGATTTAATGGCGCTGAAAGAACCCATTTCTCATCATATTGAGGTACTGATGCTGTATATGAGTTGTAGATCAGACACAGTGTTCATTGAAGTTGTTTGCCAAAGCGAAATTTACAGAAATGTTTGCTCTGGCTGGTTAACACTTGAGCTCCCATTGGTCCGTGGAGATGATGTAATAAGTGGGCGTGGCTCTGAGGCTCCGCCTTCTTTAAGGTGGAAATCTTTTTCTAGTTAATTTCTGTCCATTGAGGACGGACATAAGCGAAGAGTTAAAAAGGTGACTATATCGGGGCCTTTAATGTCTTGTTGCATGTAGAGTTCGACCGATAGTTGATTTTACCGATATTTACGTTTGACCGTAACCGATTATTCAACCGATATTTTTTTTTTAAATGGATACTGGGATTAAAAACAAACATAACACTAGTAAAACAGTGCTGAACTGAAATGTGCTAAATAAAATAAATATATAAATAAGAATAAATTAAATTGATTAGTTGTACAGATCGAACGTTTAAATATTACAGCTCAAATGTAAGAAACATGGCCTATGTAAATTTCATAGGTAACACTTTGCAAGTCCCATTTGTTTAGCTAGCTTTTATGAACTATATGCATTATTTTTATTGCATGTATAAAGAATGATACAATTGTATTGTTCAATGTTAGTTCAATTATAGATTAAAATGTAGATGTTGAATTTAAAAGACTAACAGACGGCATCAACGACAAACCAAAATGTCCTTTAAAGAGGACCGAAGCAAAAGAAATGTGCTTTCCAAAAATAAATAGTTCAGACTATTTTACCCAGTGTTTGCGCATGGTTGTTTTTCTGCTTATTAGAGTATTTCACCAATAACAAACTAATGGGCAAACAATACTTGTGCAAAGGCCGAAGCTTCACAAGAACACGAGTACAGGCCAGAACGCGTGTTGAGAAACGGCTGATGTGAATCCAGATGTGTTTTCTGCTTCATAGATCCCATAAAGACGGCGCAGGGCTCTCTGTGTCTGAAGGCCTACAGGTTGACCCCCAAACTGATGGAGATCTGCAAGGAGAAAGACTTCAGTCCGGAGGGGTAAGACACTTTCTGTTCAGATTAGAGCCCGACCGATAAAGGATTTTGAAGGCCGATACCGATACAGATATTTTTTTGGTTTTAAAATCTGATATGCCGATATATCGGACGATATTTTTTTTTTTCGGAAACATACATTTCCTTAACATAAGTTAATTGTAGTTATTTATGAGTTTTAACTAAAATATTATGATCATGCATTTTAAAAAGAAACTTTTTTCTTTTATTGTCACAACAGAACAGACTGATGATAGTGGCATTAGCTAGCTTTGTGGTTAGCTAGTCAATGATGAGCCATAATTTAGCGATGGATAACGTCATACTGCAAAGTGTAAAACATACATTTTCAATATAACAGGCCGAGGAGAGATGATGCGTCTCATTGCTTTAACTGTCACGCGCTATTAAAGAAATACTTCAGTCACATTTGTCAAAAGTTAAAAGGACAGTCAGTCGACTACTGTAACAACGTAACGTAACTATTACTAGCTAATCCCGCTTCACTCTCGGCTTATTTAACAGCAAAACTGGACATGATAGTCACAAATTCTGTCATGCTTATTTGAGTTAAGAGAACTGATGGGGGTGATCTTTTAATTGTTATTCAAGTAATGTTTGTATCATGACCAACTCAACGAGTGTAGAGTGCCCTCTGGTGGACAAACTATACAAGTCCAACACTCGTGACATGTTTCAAGTGCGTTTCGTCCGTTTTTATTTTTGAAATATTCATTTATCGGCCATTATAACTAGGGTTGGGTATCGAGAATCGAGTAACGATTGGAATCGGGACTAACTTTTCGTTTTTCCCGGAATCGTTCAAAAGTTAAAATTTCGATTCCTAGTTTCGATATTCACAGTCCGCCGAGCGGAAGAAGAAACCGCTGAACAACACCAACGAAGAAGCGTCTACCGGAAGTGTTGGTATAACCCCACGAGTCGAACATGAGTAGCTTACGTCGGCGGTCCAAAGTGTGGCTTCACTTTTCTAAAAAAAATAACGAAATCTCGGCAAAATGCAAAATTTGTGACAGAAGGAGTATTTCCTTCAGAAAGGCCGTTGGTTAGCAAGGTTAGCTAAACTTTTTTGACCCTGCCTCTTAAAAGAATCGGAATCGAGAATCGTTAGGAACCGGAATCGAAACAAGGAATCGGAATCGGAATCAGAATCGTTCAAATTCAAACGATACCCAACCCTAATTATAACTGCCGATACCGATAGTTTGGAAAATGCCTAATATCGGCCGATAATATCGGCATGCCGATATATTGGTCTGGCTCTAGTTCAGATATATAGTCTTCTTTCAGACGAACGCAATCAGAGTTATATTAAAAAAAAAATATATATATATTAATTTAATTTATATGTTTTTAAATATTTGTATACAATTGTATTATACATGAATTAATCCATAAATAATTGAATTATATTTATTGTTTATTTTAGATTTATATGCTCTTGGTTAAACTCCTTCCCGAAAGCCGAAAGCTTCCTCACCTCTGATTGGTCAGACGGCTCAGTCTGTTGTGATTGGTCGCAGCGCGTGTCATAAACCAAACACTTATTAAATTTGTTCCAATCCGTCGCAGGATCTTGATTTTACACTTTGCAGACCTTTTACATTCTCATTCCCAGAGCTAAAATACAGAAGTAGTGCAGTGCTCTCCTCAGCCGACGTCTGGTTTCACTCATAATACAGAATTAATGGGTGAAGCACGCTTTCATGTTGACATCCGACATGTTTGCGCGGCCTGTGTGTTGACCTTGTCATCGGCCGGTTCGACACTCGTCATTCGACGGCGCCTCTTGAATATTCAGCCGGTTCGGAAGAGCACTGCTATTGATTTATGAAAATAAGCCTGTATTTGTGTAGCGAAGGAAGCGGGGTGGGCCGTCGTGAATGATGCATACAGATCGCTTGTCAGATTCATACGGAATATCAATCTGAAATCTGCGAGGCTGTGCTATATTGATATTCCTCAAACATTCTCCTGCTCTTCTATAAGTTTCTGCAATTCAGCTGGACTGAGAGAACACACACACACACTCACTCACTGAGGTGATGGATCGCGTTCGGGCCGGTGAACACCTGAACGCCGAGGGGAGCGTCTCTGTGTTCACAAACACGCATGCTTCTCACACCACTAGGGCTGGGTATTGACACACATTTCACAAATCGATTTCGATTCGATGCAATATTGATTCTTTTGGATATCAGGTACAATACATATACTATACAAAAAGGAAATCTCTTACCTAATGCTGTAAACTATGGGAGTCAGTCGTAGCCTATTCATTCGGTTCACTTTGCGACATACGGCCTCAATAATGCCTGCAATATGTTGTGCAGTTGGCTGCAACAACAGCCAAAAGGGGAACCCTGAACTGGTATTTTGTTCTATACCAAAAGAAAATCATTTATTTAAAAGACTTGAAGTCTTGCTGGTTTGTGGTTAAAATGTATAAACCGATATTTTTTACCCTAAAGGCCCGTTACACACCGGGACGAATATCAGCGCGCGTTATTCGTCAGCGTTATTCAACGCGTTTTTTGTGTTCACACTAGGGGTGGCACGGTTCACGAAACCGACGGTTCGGTTTGTATCACGGTTTTAGTGTCACGGTTTTCGGTTCTGTACGGTTCTTGTTATTTTTTTCTTTTAATCTTTAACACTTCAGAAATGTACTTCAGCATGTGATATATAGCTTAATTATCCACACTTTAGGATACAGTATAAAAAAAATTATATTCATGCAATCATGCACAAACTGAATTTGACTCTTTGACTTTAAGCACATTTTGGGACTATCTCAGAGGAAAGCTAGGTGAGATTTTGACACAGCAAGAAAGAAGAAATTGACATGCTTTTTGTTTATTTGGCAAAAAAAAGGAGAATGTGTATCACTATCTCTACAAGAACTTGTGCATTTTTATCACACAAATCTTATTTACACAAAGAAATTAACTTGCATTTATGAACTGACAACTTTTGTAGCTCTTACAAAAATTCTATCTTTTAAAAGAAAAAAAGAGGAACTACACTGTCTTTTATGAATAAGTCAATATACATGAAACCTCATTGCCTATAATTAGGCTATAGAAATAGCAAAGGCCATAAACATAAAGTGAAAAGTTCAACCTCAACACAAAAAACAGTATCAACAATGCTTCTATTCCCAAAAAGTGAGGGTACCCTTTTTTCAGTTTAAATTAAAGTGCAGGATTTGGAAACATTTGACTGAAGCTCTTATCTAAACATAAAGTGCCACTGTAACGTTATATTAAAATACCATAACATGAAATCAAAAATGTCCCCACACACCGGACTTATATAGACTTATACGACGCTGGCGCATCCTCCAACTCCCTCATCTCTCCCACTTGCCATTTCTCCGCGTGCCGTGACCTGCAGCGCTCCATACTCCACTTTTACTGGCTTGTTTATTAACTTGAACCGGCGCTGCACAGAGCGATCGGTAATGACATCAAATACCGCGAAAGTGAGTGACGGAGCCGTCGTTCCCGCTCTAGTGTGATGTTATTCCCCGGTCGCTCTGTGCAGCGCCGGTCCAAGTCGAACAAGTTTATGTCGCGCGAAAAGAAAACACACGTCACATACGGGCACGAGGTTACATTGCGCATGCGTCGAACCGTGAGACGCACAGACGCTCCGAACCGAGACAAGCGAACCGAACGGTTCGGGTGTTTTTTCATGTACCGTGCCACCCCTAGTTCACACCCAAGCGTTTTTCGCTGACGATTAGGGTTGGGTATCGAGAATCGAGTATCGATTGGAACCGTTTTTTCCCGGAATCGTTCAAAAGTTAAAGTTTCGATTCCTAGTTTCGATATTCACAGTCCGCCGAGCGGAAGAAGAAACCGCTGAACAACACCAACGAAGAAGCGTCTACCGGAAGTGTTGGTATAACCACGCGAGTCGAACATGAGTAGCTTACGTCGGCGATCCAAAGTGTGGCTTCACTTTTCTAAAAATAACGAAATCTCGGCAAAATGCAAAATTTGTGTATTTTTACAGAAGGAGTATTTCCTTCAGAAAGGATTATTTTCTTCCGAAAGGCCGTTGGTTAGCTTAACTTTTTTGACCCTGCCTCTTAAAAGAATCGGAATCGAGAATCGTTAGGAACCGGAATCGAAACAAGGAATCGGAATCAGAATCGTTCAAATTCAAACGATACCCAACCCTACTGACGATGAGCCGAGTGAACATGCAAATTCATTCCCTGACATTAGATGGCGCTTAATGTGAAACAGAAATAATAATAGAATACTATACTAGGGTGATCATATTCATGTCTCAATGTTTTATTATGACAGATTAAAAAAAACGAATGAAATAATGATAGAAAGTCTTCTGTATTAGAAAAATAAATGGTAACACTTTACCATAAGGTTCATTAGTTAATGTATTTACTAACATGCACTAACCATGAGCAATACATTTGTTACGGCTTAGTTCATGAAAATACAGCTGTTTGTTGTTTGTTCATGTTAGTTCACGGTGCATTAACTAATGCTAACAAGATTTTAATCAAGTATTAGTAAATGTTAAAAATAACATTAACAAAGATTAACAAATGCTGTATATGTGCTATTCATTGTTAGTTCATATTAACTAATGTTAACTAACAAACCTTATTGTAAAGTGTTACCAAATAAATGTATAAATAACTAAAAGAAATGCATCCAAATGTAACAAAAAATAGCTCTCACAAACTTACAAAAACGAACTAACAAAATCTATTCATATCTTTAGTTTTCATTCTCTTTATCTTGTTTTTCTTCCTCGTCCACCTTGTTTGCCCATCTATATTTTGCTGTCGGACTGATCTTTCCCAGCAGTTTTTTTTTTGAAAACCAGGACATTTTCATCACTTAAAAACAGTCAGGACAGGACGTGGAAACAGGACGTGTGTAACGCAAAGTTGAGATGTTGCCCAGAGATAAAAACATGGCACAGATGCACGAGAGACGAGAGTTGTCGTATTTCCCCGCGTTTAATAAAACCACTCAAGTCCTCATACATGGGGATCGAGCGAGGAAAAAAAACACAAACAAACATCTGGTCACAATAGAAAAATAAAATAAAAGAAAGAATACAAAGAGTCGGTTATCTCCTCTCCTCAGTTCATCTCAGCTCAGATTTCTATAAAGCACAAAGTGACCGTTTTACACATGTCCCGAGAAAACAGGACTGTTGGTCACCCTATACTATACTATTATTACAGAAATACTAATATAAATATTATCATATATGCTCCGAGACCAGCAGCTCAGCATTCATCTTGCCCATAGGTAACTTATCTTATCTCTTCTTCGCCGTTTGTGTGCTCGGCAAGACCGTTTTGTGTTTGAGCGCCCCCAAGTTGTGTTTTACTGTAACTTCAGAAGTACCAGACACGTGAGCAAACCCGCCAATTTGGTTGGTCGGATAGTTTTTTTTTTTTTTTAAATGACGCTTTTACGCGTGGCGTTTTTCGCGTCGGTGTGAACTCTCACATTGGCGCCCATTGTTTAGTCACGAGGCGTTAAACGTCGACTAATATCGCACGTGAAATTCGTCCCGGTGTGAACAGGCCTTAACCCTAAACGATAACCTCGTGTCACGATTCAGTATCATGAAACTGAACTCATGATACGGTATTATTGCGATACTCATGAAAGATAAATAGAAAATGACCTGTTGATTGAAAAATGCAAAATTTAATGTTGCATTGTGTGTAAATGAATAGGAAACCCAAAGCACATGATGCTGCGATATTATGAGAATTTGTTTTGTTTTTTATCTTAACCCTAAAACCGTTTTTTGGACAAATGTGGGCAAAATAGTTTTGATTAATCTTTAAAAAATACTTCCCTTGATCTTGATCTACTTTTCTTAAGTTTGCCTCCTGAACACACTTTTTTTTTTTTACTAAAAAAAAAAACAAAAAAAAAAAACTCCTTAATCTTGTATTTGGGTCAAAAATGGGCACCCATAGAAATTAATATAGGGAAAAACTGTAATTTAGAGCATACTAAAATAAGCCAAAATAAGACACCAGGTGACAGCAAAGTCACTTCATCTTTAGCTTGTGAACTTATTGGAATGATATTTTAATTTAGTTAAAAAAATAAAACATAAAAATAAGCATCATTTACATAGAAAACATGGTTCTTTTGAAGTAAATAAATTCAAAAATACCCCCAAAATAAAAAAAACACACCATAAATGGATAGACAAAACTTTATCGAAGACAGTGATATAACATTTATAATAAATAAAAATTAGGATCACACATTTGTCCACAATTATAGGATTAAGGCCTATAAAGTGAACTATAAACTCATCATAGGGGAACCATAATGTTTCACTGATGCATGTTTTCCCACAATCCTTCCAAAATAAAAGTAATTTCTTGAAATAAATGCATTATGTATTGAATGTTGTGTGTATTTTCCTAACTCTGAATGCCTGTGTCTCCCCAGGCTGAAGAAGGCGTGCGTTGGCTTCGAGCACATGTTCGAGGAAGTCCCCATCGTCATCAAGAACTCCCATCTCATAAACGTGCTCATGTGGGAGCTGCAGGAGAAGAGTACGGTGGCTGACAAGCACGAGCTGCTCAATCTGTCCAGCAGGTCAGAATCACCCCGACCTCTGCCAAATGTGTCGTTCGCTGCTTCATCTCGTCAGTCCGTGTTGTTTCGCACGGGCTGACCGAGGAAATGCAATGCATGCTGACATGCCCTGATGGCACAGTTACAGGAACGGCCTTCTGGGAGCAGAGAAATGCTGAGATTTGATATAAACACAACACTAGTTTATCTCCATCCCTCACTAGAACCCAAAAGCTGCGCTTCCTTACTGGGTTTCGATCTAATACTTTATTTTGTGTCTACTAACATTTAAACTAATCATCTGATGCAATGCACTTAATGTTTTTACATTGTACTTATATTTAGGAAAATACCTGCATATATTTACTTCTGTTAGACTGTAGTCAATCATTGCATCCCTTAAGGCGAGACACGGCAGACAAAATCATAATTTATTTTTTTTTTCACTGGTCAATTTTGGGATATTTGTCTTCAATAACATGTCTTGTTTCAGAAAAAAAGTCTGAAATACACATTTAGGTCTTTATTTTACTACACTTTGACTGTTTGTCTGTAGATTTCTCATAAATTCTTTAAAAGTTGTCGTTATAAATCATCCTGCTGCTCAGCGATCACACCAAATATGGTCATTTCCTTTTTATCAGCAACCAATCGTGGAAATAAAAGGGGGGATTTAACTCTAAATGCGCGATCTCATTGGCTGATGCTAAATCTTTAAAGCCAGTTTTCTCAAAATTACTTTTCTCTCATACTCTCTCAAGTCCGAAATCTCCACTTCAGTATCAACTATACACACCAAACTTTCCAGTCTTGTACCTAGTTATATTATGAAGACATTTACAGCGGGAAATATATTATTCCTAGCCTGATTTATATAACATTTTATTCCAAAAAACATGGCGAAAATCATGTTTTTAAGGCAATTGGCAGGATAACAAAAGTAGATATCCATAAATCCCTCTGTAATCTAATATGTGAACAAGAATTTTGAACCTGGCTTTGTCCAATACTCAGATTTCGTTTTTTTTTGTTTTTTTTTTTTAAATATATGCAAATTAGTGCATATTTAATTAGATAATGCCTCATTTGCATATTTAAACATTAAATTACAGAACACTTGTAATATATTTTTTTCCTCATCTTAATGTAGGTAATCAACTGGGAAAGTTTCATGGTGAAATCCGCCAGTTAAAAAAATTACCCTATTCACCTGTAGTGTCTCGCCTTAAAACTCAACTTTGATCACCAAAATGACGTTTTTTTCATGCCTTAAAATATCTTGAATGTAACTCGACTCCCTTGCCTGATTTCGTATGCGTGGTTCTATGAATATGCAAATGAGCCCCGCCTCCACTCCACTGGTTGGCGATCACACGTTGATCTGATTGGTTCACAGCGTGTTTTTGAGACTGTCTTTGGTTCACTGCAGTTTTAAGGAGGAAATACTCGACTTATGAACTTAAGCACATTAAAAACACCACATACGCACAAACATAAAAATTTAAAACCTAACCCTACCCATAAATCCCACCTCAATAGCAGCACAAGTGTTTTACACTATAACATCAACACAATAAGTACATTAATGCATGCTAATATGAAGTGTGACCTAATGGGTTTAATATTAGCAGCTGAGTCTGTGCCTAAACACAAAAATGAAAGGGAAGCATTGTAAAAGTTCATATGCCTATTTATCTTGCATGATTAAATGCATTCTATACCAGATGACAGCCACTGTCCATCAGTAACGCCACTATCTGGAGCTGGACGTTTAATTCTCCTGCAAATAGTCCTCTCTTCTAAATTAATTTGGCTAATCCAGTTAGATTCCACTGAGTTTTATTACAGATTGAGTCGAGTCGGTTTCCATGAGAGCAGTTCCCAGAAATGAGCCTCATTACATTCAGAATGAATTTTCTTTTTTCCTTTCACTAATATGAGCTTCAAGGACAGTGTTGAGTTTAGAGCAGTGATGACTCTAGAAAAGGGCTGTACTCTATAGCGCTTTATTTTCCTTGCACTAGTTTAGCATTTCCGCTCCGGCTCTTCTGCTATTGTGGCTCTTTTACTTCTGAGTGTGATTTCGGTTTTGTCAAGTTGTTGAATATTGAATAGACCTTAAAGGAGGAGTTCACTTTAAAAAAAGCTTTTGCTTATAATTTACTCGCCCCCGTGTCATCCAAGATGTCCGTGTCTTTCTTTCTTCAGTCGAAAAGAAATTAAGGTTTTTGATGAAAACATTCCAGAATTTTCTCCATATAATGGACTTCAATGGGGTCCAAATGGTTCAAGGTTCAAACGAGAGTTTCAGTGCAGCTTCAAAGGGCTTTAAACGACTCCAGACGATGAATAAGGGTCTTATCAAGCGAAACGAGCGCTCATTTAATAAATAAATAACAAAGTTTAAGTTTTATAAGCACAAATGGTCGTCCTGTTCTGTGATCGTGACTCTCCTGTTCATCAAAATGAATGAATCTTTTCTCGAGTCAACTCGTTCATTACGTTCGTTGAATGAACCAAATGACATGAAAAAAGATTCGTTCATTTTGTGAACGAGTATGAACAAGAGAGTCACGATCACAGAACAGGACGACCATTTTGTGGTCGTCAAACTTAAACTTTGTTGTTGTTTTTTTTAAATGAGCGATCGTTTCGCTTGATAAGACCCTTATTCATCGTCTGGAGTCGTTTGAAGCCCTTTGAAGCTGCACTGAAACTCTCATTTGGACCTTGAACCGTTTGGACCCCATTGAAGTCCATTATGTGGAGAAAATCCTTGAATGTTTTCATCAAGAACCTTAATTTCTTTTCGACTGAAGAAAGAAAGTCGTGGACATCTTGGATGACATGGGGGCGAGTAAATTATCAGCAAATACACCGAAGACTGGAGTAATGATGATAAATTCAGCTTTGATCACAGGAATAAATTATATTTTTCTGTATATTCACATAGAAAATATCTGTTTTAAATTGCAATATTTTTTCAGAATTTTTTTGCAGTCTTGGTGAGCAGAAGAGATTTTATTTTGTTTTTTTAAATATTTTAAACATAAATTTTGTAAAAAAAAAAAAAATAATAATAATAAAATAAAACAACTTTGTTAGTGAAAAAATGCATGGAAATCATCATAGACCTTACCATTTTATTTTCTATATTAGACATATTGAGGCTGCAATGACTGTTTAAAACAAAACGCTTGAAAAGAAACCATTTGAGTGCATAAAGATAATCACTGAGATATATTTAGCTTCATCAAAGGGCTGAAGCACATCAAGAATATCACAGAGTGCGTCGATCTTTTATTTCAATTTTGATCTTTTTTTTCTTTAAGAAGAGTGCATTGACATCTTATTTCAAAAAGTAATTTTTTTCTTTAATGAACATATGAGCTAAAAATGTCATTTCTCTGCCTTCATGCTTCCCAGCAGCCACAGCTGTTCAGGACCCTCGTCTCAATCACACTAATTGATAGACTAAATACTTGGGATGTGAGCAGGTGTTTTGGTCTTTATAGTTAATGCTTTATGAGTCGGCACAATCTTTGCCATTTTGACTAAGTCTTTCATTTGTAGTTCAGAACATCCCAGGAGTCGGTGTGTGGTGTGTGTGAAATCATTCAGCGTGCAGATAATGATAATGTATTCTGTGTGTAATTTCAGTCTTCCTGTGTACAGAGATGCCCTTTCCTTTCCTTGGCAAATACCAATAGGTCTATAGAGCAGATGTGTCACTCCAAAAACACACTCTTGAAAGCATGTAATGTTAAATGAATGAAAATTGTCTTCGTTTGCTTGTCCATCATGTCGTTCCAAATGTTATTTAAGTATTTTTGTTCCCTCAATCCATGCATTTACAATGAATCCGGGCTTAAAGGCTGCACAAGTGCTTCCTTCGACTCGTGCACAAGATTCCTTAAGAAATATTGAAAAAACAACTAGTAAAAATTACAAAAGCACATAGTAAAATGACTAAAGCTGATTCAAATGCAATTGACTAACTATAATAAACTAGTAAAAGTTACAAAAGCACTTAAAAATATTTAAACTTAAATTAAAATATGACAAATATAAAGCTAATTCAAAGCATTATTAAATATTATTATAGTATATAAATGATACAAAACTGAAAAAAAAAGTTAATTTTTATCCAGACATCAATGGCTGTATTAGTATCAGTGAGACTGACCTTCATTCATAAAAATGGCATTAAACAAGTGTTTGAAATATACTGTATGTTTCTATATTAATTTGGATAACCACAGGAAAAAATTGTATGTGTGTGTGTGTGTGTGTATATATATATATATATATATATATATATATATATATATATATATATATTAGGGCTGTGCAAAAATTAATTGCGATTAATCGTATCCAAAATAAAAGTCTGTGTTTACATAATATATTTGTGTGTGCTGTATATAATTATTTTGTATATATAAATACACACACATGCATGTATATATTTAAGAAAATGTGTTATTCATATATAAAATATTTATATTTATATAATATAGGTTATGTATGTATGTATATATATATATATATATAGAGAGAGAGAGTTTAAGCGCAAATAATTCTTAAATATATACATGCATGCATAGGTATTTATATATACAAAATAATTATATACAGCACACACAAATATATTATGTAAACGCAGACTTTTATTTTGGATGCGATTAATTGCAATTCATTTTTGCACAGCCCTAATATATATATATATATATATAAAATCTGTGGTTTGTGTCATGTATGGCAATAAAAAAGCATTGCATTTAATTTGAAGAGACCTGCAGAAACCCTGATTAAGTGTATTGCCTCATAAGTGACCAATTTTGAACACGCACAGAAACTTTGGTCACAAAACGGTCTGAAATACCTGGGAAGTGCATTGTGGGATTGCCTTCTCAGTGAAGGATGCATGCAATACTGCTTTATGATCTTTTTTTCTAGAAAAGCATGTGTGCACACTTAGTTTTTTCAGCACAGTTCTTGAATGTTTTGGAACGGCCCCGATATATGATCTGTGATTAGACACGTCTCTGTGAACCATGTAAACTGCGAGCAGATAGTCGTCTTTATCAGGCACGTCATGCTTCTGTCATCTTGGGTTTTTTGAGTAGATGATCACTGTGGAGAAATTACACTTTGATGTGCAGTCAGCCTTTTATTACACATGCAAACTTTGTTGGACTAAGCGATCTGTCAATCTGTTGCCATAGTAACCACCTGGAGAAGAGCCTGCAGCTGCTGATGGACCGCGTGGACGACGCCAACCAAGACATCGTCAAGTACAACACGTACTGCCGTAACCTCAGCAAGCAGACCCAGCAGAAGCAGCAGGTACCGTCGCATACACGCTTAAAAAGATAATTCAATATATTAAATACTATGATAGTTTAGAAATAATCAAATAACAATATATATTTAAATATTAAAATATAAATATATATAATATTAACAATATATATAAAAAATATATATTTTTATTATATATAAAATATATATTTTTTTAATATATATATGAAGAGTTCAGATGCAAAAGCCTCTAAATGCCATTTGAAATTTTCTTCTAAAATGACCATTTTTATCAAGCTTGTATATTTAAGTTCAGTAATTTCACTTAAATGGCAATTAACCATGGATCCATCTTCATTGCCATTTAAGTGAAATTACTGAACTTAAATATACAAGCTTGATAAAAATGGTCATTTTAGAAGAAAATTTCAAATGGCATTTAGAGGCTTTTGCATCTGAACTCTTCATATATACATATATATTATTATTATATATATAAAAAAATTATATATATTAAAAAAAAATATATATATATTTTTTGATACTATATATATATATATATATATATATGACAAAAATAACATAATCAAATTTTAGCTAATTGTATGTCAAAAGTCTCCCTTGTGTTCACTTAATTTTTATATAGTAAGAAAAATGAACTAATGTGATTTCCATCTTTGACATTATGAATTTAATATTTTATCCAATATATATGATGGGGATATAAAAACCTGCTGCATGCTTGCCCCATAAATGTGTGCTGTCGCTCTGCCCGAGATGAAACCGCTCAATAGATGTTATTTAGGGTTCAGATGGCTTCGCTTCACATTCATAATTTCATCCATTTCGCCAGGCCGACAAATTGGCCCAAATGCCCTTGACATTTGCAGGCTTTTGCATCGCTGGCATTTTGTAAACATGACTTCTGAAAACAGAAAGAGGAGCGTGAACCACTACGGGACGCCTCAGAGTCGCTTTATATCCGAGCTTACCCGGATCATGTGACGTCAGATCACACTGAACACTGGTCTTCGAGTCGCTGTGTGATCACATGTCGTGACCGAAACGCCTGCACAATGGTCAGAGTTTGTGTGTTTTTGTTTTCTACCGTGGAGATCGTCTTCAGCAGCGAACGGAGACTACTGACGATCATTAACCAGAGTTTTATTTACTAAAGAAATGTCTGGATAAAATACAAAGGGCCTTAAAGGAGTAGTTCACTTTTAGAAAAGATTTTGCTTATAATTTACTCGCCCCCATGTCATCCAAGATGTCCATGTCTTTCTTTCTTCAGTCAAAAAGAAATTAGGGTTTTTGATGAAAACATTCCAGGATTTTCTCCATATAATGGACTTCAATGGGGTCCAAACGGTTCAAGGTCCAAATGAGAGTTTCAGTGCAGCTTCAAAGGGCTTTAAACAACACCAGATGATGAATAAGGGTCTTGTCAAGCGAAACGAGCGGCCATTTCAAAAATAAATACAAAAGTTTAAGTTTTATAAGCTCAAATGCTCGCCTTGCTCTGTTCTTTGATGTGCATTTGTGACTCTCCTGTTCGAACTCGTTCATCAAAATGAACGAATCTTTTTTCGAGTCATTTGGTTCATTCAACAAACTTTTGTATTTACTTTTGAAATGAGCGATGGTTTCGCTTGATAAGACCCTTATTCATCGTCTGGTGTCGTTTAAAGCCCTTTGAACAGTTTGCACTGAAACTCTCATTTGGACCCCATTGAAGTCCATTATGTGGAGAAAATCCTGGAATGTTTTCATTTCTTTTCGACTGAAGAAAGAAAGACATGGACATCTTGGATGACATGGGGGCGAGTAAATTATCAGCAAAAGTATTTTTTAAAAGTGAACTACTCCTTTAAAGGAATGGTTTATACAGTGGGCTTGCTTGAATTTGAGTTTTTGAAATTTAAAGCTGCAGCTCGAATCTGCGAATCGAAAAACGAAGGAACAAAACTATTTAAAAATTGATGTATAAACGTGTAATTTATTGCAAAATATGCATATACACACTTAAGTATTTTGGGAGATTGAATTGACTACATTCGCAGTGATTCATGGGAGTGGGCGGAGCTAACGAGGTCTTTTGGCGCATTTTGCTTATTTTGACTCTGATTGGTGGAATTTTCTGTAAAGCATCATGGGTAATGTAGTTTTTACAGTTAAACACTTTTAAATTAAGCAGACTAACGGCTTCAACAGAAGCAAATACCATCGATTAACAACCTCGTCTCTCAAGTTATTGTTTAAAAATCCAAAGACTAAACTTCTCATCTTGGATTTCACCAATTCATATGGTTTTGAAAATGACTTGATGGTGTGGTAATGATTTCTATTTTTTAGAGTGAATATTCCTCTCCGCTCTCGCTTCATTAGCACTTTTAAAAAACACTGCATTCTTCTAGAACAAAACAACACACTGCACTCAGCGAGACGTTTCTCCGGTGTTTGACACCATTAGTTTGACAGGATGGTTGAGCCTTTCAAAGACATTTAAAGTGTGTCCTGACCGAGGCTTGGTCACGAGCAGGTCATCTCGCCGGCTCCTATATCAACCACGCTGAAATCTACTGTAATTACTGTTGTCATCGATCACATCCTTCCCGTCTCCACACACTCCAGGCCCCGGTGCACCATATAAACCAAATGACCCGCATCAATCACCATTTAATATCAAAGAGAATTGCCGCTGTGTTGGCAGTTTGCGTTCCTAAATCACATGCCTAATTTCAGCAGAAATGGCCGGTATCCTCAGCGGTGACATAAGTCGCACACACTCCAATAGGACATGAATTCCTCTTATTTTTTTTTATCCATGTTCAAAGTTGATCTACTACTACAGGTGCTCTTCGGCCTGACGGAAAAATTCTCTGTTTTGAATTTCTAAAAATCACAGCTTCATCAGAATGTTATGAAACTTGGTGACTTTTTTGGCATTTGGTATGTGAACACACAAAAAAATTAAGGTCATGATCCGAGCATGCTAAGTGGTCTTAAAAAAAATAGTCACACTTGTGGTCTTTGGTCAAAAATGACCCCATAGGAAATGAATGGGAAATTGTAAAAAAAAAAAAAGAAGAAAAAAATTGTGAATATTTGTTTTTTTCATTTTTTTTAATAAGAAATAGTTTTTGAGATTGTTTCAACTATATATACAAATCCACCCAAAAAAAAAAAAAAGTGTTCATAAACAGCTGGGGAATTCACATGCCTCTCCATAGAGAGCTGTACATGCCATCTAGTGGTTACACCATGATTCTACGCCTTTTCTCTATACTGTAACCAGATGGTGCTAATTTTCTTCAAAAAAAATTTTTTTTCTGAAGGCCTAGACTCTATATTAAACTAAAATACTGCATTAATAAATTTAAAAAAAAAATATATATATAGAAAAATATATATATATATTTTTCCATGGCAAAATAGACCATAAATATTGCATAAATATTAATAAATTCAATCAAATTGTCTCAAAATACTAAATTACAAAGAATAAATATTATAGAACAAAAATAAATTGCATTGGTTTTACTGGGATGGAGGAAATTAAATTTTTACTTTTTATTAAATAACAAGTGTGACTCCGAAACGAAGAGCACCTGCGGGTTAAAAAGAGGCGAATGGTAGAGCTTGACAAATGCAGCTGTTGCAGGACAACAGGTGTACCAAAGGGTGATGTGGATGTGGTCACGTGAGTGCATCATCAACTGATTCGCCCCAGAGTGATCAGTGCGCTGTGAAAACGAACCAAAACCCCCCAGAAAATGCCACAAAGTCTAATTTTTCACCCTTGGGTCCGGACCAAACGAACCGAACGATCCCTCAGTGTATACGTTAGTGGATCATCGCTTTCCTTTCTGTGTTTTTCCTGCATCTTCTAGTATCTCCAGAGGCGTCAGCAGGAGAACACGCAGCGCCAGAGTCGCGGAGAGCCGCCGTTACCCGAGGAAGACATCAGTAAGATGTTCAAGCCGCCTCAGGCTCCTCCTCGCATGGACACACTCCTCATCGCAGGTACGCTCTTCACACACACTCTGCAGGCCGCTGGATGTTTATGGTCCTCCGTCCAGAAGAATTGATCCATGAATTGGTCAATTCAGCAGTAAACGGATCAGTTTAAATGGGAATAGGAATTACTGCAGGTCTTAAATCTTCACGCTGCTCTTATCCTGATGGAGATGCGGGAAGGTTTGCCCTCTTTTATCAGAGAAACATCTTTTTTTTTTTTTGCTATTAACATGATTAATCTCATTTAATCACATTTTATTTTGCTTTTGCGCAGCCAAGTGTAGTCATGGCTCTGCAATACAGATCGTTTCTTCTGTCCCAATTTGGCCAGAAATTAAGATTTATATTTATATATTTATTTATTATTTATATTTATTTATTTATTATATTATTATATTTATACATATATATATATATGTATGTATGTATATATGTATGTATATATATATATATGTATATATGTGTATGTATGTATGTATATTTATATGTGTGTATGTGTGTGTATATATATATATATATATATATATATATATATTAATAAATATATGCTCTATTTTTAATGCTCTATTATTTAGCTATATGTATTTTTAATGGAATAATGCTCTGTTTTTAATGCTCTAATATTTAGCATATTTTTTATGTAATAGTGCTCTATTGTAGCTATATATATTTTTTATGTTATGCTCTATTAGTTAGACATTAGACAGTTTTTTTTAATTTAATGCTCTATTTTTAATGCTCTATTATTTAGCTATATATGTATATATATATATATTTTTTTTTTAAATGTTATGCTCTATTTTTAATGCTCTATTTAGCTATATGTATTTTTATGTAATAATGCTCTATTATTTTTAATGCTCTTATTTAGCTATATATATTTTTTTATGTTATGCTCTATTTTTAATGCTCTATTTTTAATGCTCTATTATTTAGCTATATATATATATATTATTTTTTTTAATGTTATGCTCTATTTTTAATGCTCTATTTAGCTATATTTATTTTTATGTAATAATGCTCTATTATTTTTAATGCTCTTATTTAGCTATATATATTTTTTTATGTTATGCTCTATTTTTAAGGCTCTATTTTAATGCTCTATTATTAAGCTATATATATATATATATATATATATATATATATATATATATATATATATATATATATATATTTATTTATTTATATATATATATATATTAATGTTATGCTCTATTTTGAGTGCTCTATGATTTAGCTATATATATATATATATAATTGTGCAATTCTGAGAATGGAAGTTAATTGGTTTAAACCCTTGCTTTTTGAAATCATAAAACTGGTCTAATGCATAAAAGTGAGTTAAAACAAAGATATATTACACTTGTTATATTGCTATTTTTGTCCCCAAGTAAAAACGTATTATGTGTTTTCAATCCAGTATTAACATAACAAAATAGATAATTTTTTCTTTGTTGGTTTTTATCAGTGGATCAGGGTGGTTTGGTTTGCGTCGTGATATGCAAGTCTTCATTTTTCTAAAAGGTCTTTTAAGTGGCGTTTAATTCAAGGCAGATAATCTGCATCCAGCCATGAAACTCTATAATAACTCCATCACTACTGCATACTAATGCAAAATAACCGTTCCCATTCAAAGTTGCAAATTCATCTTGGGATATGGCGTACAACAAAATAAAGCAGCGTTTCCTTCCCTCGTCTTCAAGAGAATACACTCGCTGGCAACAAACTGGCACAGAATATCAGTAATAAAGATGTTACACGAGTGTGTGTCGAGCGTCAGACGAAACACAGTAACAGCTGTGTGTGTGTGTGTGAGACGCTTCTGGAGGGAATTACACCCAATCATTCTGAACACACACTTCGACTCACACCAAACCAACATTAGAGACGCTGCGATGCCATTGGTTCGCCACGCCATCACACGTCCATTAGCCAATTAGATGCCATTATCAAATAAGCAGAATTTGCGCACAGTGTATGATACAGAAACCTCGTATGTCTCGCTTCACACACGTTTCATATCATAAGCTCGTTTTTCAGACTTCAAGCTTGTGTTTTGTTGTAGTTTGTCCAGATCTGAATGACACTTCTTGTCGTCTATAATTTCTTTGTTTCCTTCTTCACCAGGACAAATCAACAACTACTGTCAGAACATTAAGGAGTTCACCTCGCAGAACCTGGGGAAGCTGTTCATGGCCGAGGGTCTTCAGGGTCACAACAGCTAAAGAGAGAATCCAGCCTTTTCCATCTCTACACACACACACACACACACACCGTTATGATGAGCTCAAGGAGAGATCCTCTACAGTTTTTGTGCGATTTGTACAATAAAAATGTATGCATCTCTCATAACGGTCTAGTTGTCTTTGTGGCGTGTGTTCATTCTGTGTCTGAAGGAATAGTTTTTCTTGAGTTTCACCTTTAAAAGCTCGTCTGACAGGCTGTCGGATCTGGAATAATCACGTGCACTATGAAGGGTGTACGAACACAGCACGTTATCTGCTCGCCAGTGTTTAAAAGATTTCCTGAGGAAGAGCGATTACATGCGATCCATCCGAGGGTTGCATCTGCTGTCCATTTATTCGTAATTGCAGAAGCACTTTCAATCGGTCGCGTGTGTGTGTGTGTGTGTGCATTTTACAGCGTCATAAGTGGCTCTCGTCTTCTAAACTGTTCATGCAACTTTTAACGCTACATTATCAGGGTTCTGTCGGGCTTAATCATCTCTACGCTCTCTAAATACTGATGTGTATATATGCATAGTTTGCAATGAACGTAATGTTTTATACACATCATTTTAAAATTTGATTATGCTGTTTGCAATGCATCATGGGATTGTAGTTCTTTTCCTCGCTAACGCTGCTAAGTTAAGTCTTTATCTCTTATTTTTGTCTTTTCAAATTTTTTTTTCTTCAAATCAAAGGTTATAATGTGCCGGCTGGTTTGATTCATGGCTCATAACGCTTTAACTAAGACTTCTTTTTAATCCCTTTGGAAAAAATGAATGAATGCATTCAATAATACAAACAAAACACTGGGAGCATTAAAATAGCAATTTATCATGTTAATGCATTTAAACCAAGCTGTTCAATCATCTCTAAATACTGATGTGTGTATATATACATATTTTGCACGAACGTAATGTTTTATACACATCATTTTAAAATGAGTTTTTAATTTGATTATGCTGTTTGCAATGCATCATGGGATTGTAGTTCTTTTCCTTCGCTAACGCTGCTAAGTTAAGTCTTTATCTCTTATTTTTGTCTTTTCAAATTTTTTTTTCTTCAAATCAAAGGTTATAATGTGCCGGCTGGTTTGATTCATGGCTCATAACGCTTTAACTAAGACTTCTTTTTAATCCCTATGGAAAAAATGAATGAATGCATTCAATAATACTGGTAGCATTAAAATAGCAATTTATCATGTTAATGCATTAAAACCACGCTGTTCAAAAACTGCTACAAACCAGTGTGTTTATAATAATAATATTGTGAAATACCATCTTGGTTTTTAATGCATTAACATGATAAATTGCTATTTTAATGCAACCAGTGTGTTATGTTTGATTTGTTGAATGCATTTATTTTACTGTGCATTAATGCCTTCCTGTCCTTGACTTTTTTGATCACTTGTTTTTTGCACATTTTCAGTTAGTAGCTGAAAGAAGTCTGATCTGGTTCTTGTAAAGATTATTCTGGCGTATTCATAAATCCCTTTAGCAGCGGAGCGTGGGTGAAACAACATTAATTTGGAGACAAAAGCATTGAGTGTTAATCGCTTTTCCACATCATTTTCTAATTCTTTTCTAACTGTCATTTTATTGTTGTTACCTGCATACTGTATAAGCAGCCGCTGTGCTAGATTATATATCTGTAATATATGATAAATATAAAGATCCATCTTTGGTCAAATGCACTATGGCTCAATTAGCTTTTCATTTGTGTTTGCAGGGCTCTATAAAATGGGACATTTTACTGAATTGGTTTCTCAAACTCCAAATCTCCAAATTTGAAGGCTTCTTGATATTGATATTTTTTTAATATTTTTATGGATTATTCAAGAAATGTTTCGTCAAGCCAATGTTTTTTAGTGTCTGTGCATGGGGGAAATATAGTTCCTATATGTAAACAATGTATTGCTAAATTTATATAGAAGTTTGTTTCCGCCTCACAATAAAACATTTTTAAAAGATAATTGCGATTTTTTTTTTTTTTTTTTTTTTTTTTTTTAATCTCAAATTTGCGCGTTTACATTTCACAGTTCTGAGCAATAAGTCAATTTTTATTTAATTTCTCAAAATTGTGAGTTTCAGTGTTGGGTAAGTTACTCTAAAAAAGTAATTAATTACTAGTTACTAATTACCTCTTCAACAGTGTAATTAGATTAGATCTCTCTAAAAAGTATTTAATTACTTTCAATTACTAATTACTTTCAAAAATCCCATATCAATCTCAACCAGCTGAATAATACAAGGATAGACATGAATCTGTTTTAATTCTTTCAAATAAATACTATAAAATTGCATGAATTATCCTTAATCTGACCAAGGTGGAGAAGGTTACATTATAAAAAACATACTTTTTAACATCAGACAATACATTTTGATGTTAAACCCACGATTTTTTTGTCTGATCTCATGACATTTCACACTTTTTTCATACATATTTTACAATGAATTTGTACGAGTGCGGTCGTAATATTTAGACACCTCATAAAATGCATACGAATCGCTGTGAGATCGGATTGATCTATACACAGTATTTACCTCAATTACATCAGAAGTAACTGTAATTAAATTACAGATAAATGAAGAGTAATCCCTTACTTTACATTTTCAAGGGAAAAGTAATTAAATTAGTGTAACGGAGGCCAGCTAGTAGTTGCTGTGCGAGTAAACCTCACTCCCCGATCTCAATAGGCGCTCTAGCGACAGTCGCTAGAGGCTGCAGTCTTTAGCCTCCTTGTTAGTGCGCCCGACTCTCACGCCGGAGACCCGGGTTCGAGGCCCGCTCGTCGCGGGGCGAGTAGGACCCGGGTGTGAGGGGTTACAGTACAATAACTAATTACTTAGTAATTAGTTACACTTTTAGACCTTACCAGGTTTTTTACAGTAAAATACTGGCAACACTGTTGCCAGTAATTTACTGTAAAAATGCACTAAAACTCAAGTTAACTAAAAAATACAACTTATTAGTTTTAGTCCATTTTTACAGTAAATTACTGGCAACAGTGTTGCCAGTATTTTACTGTAAAAAACCTGGTAAGGTCTAACAGTGTACACCCAACACTGGTGAGTTTATATCTCACAATTCTTACTTATTAACACACAAGTAGTCTATCATGCAATTCTGATATAAAAAGTCCGAATTGTGAGAAAAGTAGCAATTACCCTTTTAATTTTTCATTCTGTGGTGGAAACGAACTTCCATAAATTAGGAAAGTAATCTAAAGTCGACAGATTGGTGAATCATGTGTTATCCTTCATGTTAGTGTTCGGATCCGTCCAGACTGATGTCCTTTACTCCTGAACACAAGCATGCACTTCACATTGTGTGAGGAATAGAGCAGAGGCCTGTGTGTGTGTGTGTGTTGATTAAACACAGCAGCTGCAGCTCACATCAGCTTGTCAGTAATGATGGACATCGCGTCGGATTAATAAAATGAAGCGAGTTATCTCGCTGTTAAGTCATGACTCTCTTACTTTCCTTTTTGTCCTCCTCTTCTCTGAAATTGCCATGGCAACTGCAGATTCCCAGCGCACACGAGAAGAGTCTCGCCCCTTCTGGAGGTAATCCTCAAAACCAATGAAAATATTGATTTAGCAAAGGTGTGGGTGGGAAAGATGAATGAAGGATGTGTGTGATGAGAGGAAATATGGAAGATTGCTGACCAAGACAAGTAATACTGTGTGTGTGTGTGTGGATGGGTAGTTTTAGGGGTCGGGTTAGTGTGTGATGGGCAGGTTTAAGGGTCGGTTGTGTGTGTGTGTGTGATGGGTAGGTTTAGGGGTCGGTTGTGTGTGTGTGATGGGTAGGTTTAGGGGTCGGGTTAGTGTGTGATGGGTGCACCTCTGCCATTGTCAGAGAACGTCTAATTAAAGAGAATTGGCACTGGCTGGTTATTCCGGTTTCTGGACTGGCTGCAGTAACGCGTCTCTGTCCATGTGGGGGCGCTCGCGGTCGAGTGCAGAATGAATGTGAGTCAATGGGGTTTCACCCTCAGAAATCCACTTTTCTCAGGATGTAATTTTTTGTCAAGTAATTTGAAAGTTGCATTCAAAAGGGAGGGCTAACATAATACACTCAGCTGAAAATTGCATTTTTAAGTTCACTTATCTGTTCTAAAAATCTGTTCAAAAATGTGATGACGTCACACAATAGCAGAATGCTAGCGTGTTCTGGCCAACAACAGCCTAACCTGTAAGAAATCAAAAGGACATAAGTACTCGTTCATTCGACTTTTGGCCTATAATCTATATTGAACTTGCGGAGTCAACAATAAAATCTATGTTGATTTAACGACAAGCAGGTGAAAGAGACACATTTAGCCGTTTAGCCCCATAGACTCCCATTCATTCTGCTCTCGCCCGTGATCACCCCCAGTGGAATTATAATGGAACTGCAACCAAGATGACACACAACGGGGCTAATAGGAAGTGCCAAGGCTCTCCGTTAGATGGGCTCTGCCATTGTGTAATTACTAAATTGAGCTCTTCTTGCGCTTGAAAGGATAATTTTACAAAAATAAGGTCTGAAATCTGCGATCTCGGCGAGTACACTTAAATGAAAAGGTGGTCCAGTATCAGTGTGTTTTATCCATGCTTTCTGGTTTTCAAAGTGACATCCGCCTAATATTCCTTCTGCTGTTTTTAATGTTAATCAAACAACAAAAGACAAAGTATAAGAAAAATCACTCATTGCCATTTTTTGAATAACATTAATAAGGGTTTATTTTGTACAGGGTTATTTTGTGTTTGATTGCTTTATTCAGGCTCTCTACCTGAGAACTACCGTTACTTGTAAATCCCATTGTAGTGAATCATTTTATCCCTTTGTAGGCCTACTCATCTCTGATCACCCCCCCCAAAAAAATCCTTGAAAACAAATGTCGTATTGCCTTAAAATATCTTGAATGTAACTCGACACCCTTGCCTCATTTAGTATGCACGGTTCTATGAATATGCAAATGAGCGTTATCCTGCAGAGATTTAGGCATCAGATCATCAATCATCAGCTGACAACAACCTGTCACAAATTTGACATCAAAAAACAAGCATCCAATCAATCCCTGATGGGTAAAATCAAGCCCCGCCTACATCCAACGACGTCACTCTGTAGGCCGAAACGCGGAAGTG